GCAAGCAAACATCTAACTTGTCAATTCATACGCGTAATCATCAATTAGAATTGGACCCCCCACTTATAGAGAGAGCTCTCAAGAACACGGGGCAGAGACAGAGATCTGTAGTAGGAATTACCAATTACCCTTTAAAACCACCATCCATTCATTCACCTGTTGCTGCACGATCCCTTAGCTCACCAGTGATCATGCCATCTATTTATTTCCCCATTCTTTCTAATCAATGGCCCATTCTCTTCCTCAGACTTCCTGTTCAAATACGGATCCATCTAATCTAATATTCTTCAGATCCTCTACGATCAATGTCTTCAATTCCACGTGTTTTACTTTCAGATGACAGCCAATGACATTCACGTACAAAATCCGTGAAAACTTCAAATGGAGGGTTTCTTTGATGCTTTATTTTGATAATTGCCTTTCAGTTATCCTTCGCTGAGACACCAAGTGTAGTGAAGTATTGAAATTCCATACTTGAGCTTTTCTGCTTTTGATGATTCTGCATAATGCCAGGGTTCAATATATTCAACCATTTGAGAAAGAGTAATACCACTAACTTTTAAAATTAATAGATGATGTATAATAGCCACAGATGTCCACTCTATTCACATGATGATCAATCATCAAACCAGAGAACGACAAATTCCATGTAATTAATTAACTGAACTTTTTTACTCTCCACAAATCCAGAGATAAGGTACTGAAACAATTTCGCCAAATGGGGTCTAAATACTACTTTCCTTAGTGAAGATGTGATGAGGGTCTAGAAAAGTATAAATATTAATTTCCCGTCAATGCAAGTGTTAGAATTGTACCTAGAGAGGAGCAATCATGTTTTTGTCCCTTGGAAGAGCTTCTGTTTCACACCTTTATGTCTGGTAATTGCTATAGTAGTAAAGATAAAGAGAAGTGAATCTGAAGAGTTTTGAGTTAAAAAAAAAAAAAACATAAAAAAATAAGAGTAGATATAATGGATGGTTTATCTTCACCAACCGCCATTAAACACAAATTAAAATCCCTAAACAAATTGGTAAGCTGTTAATATTTATCTTTAGATTCTTCACAGCTGAGAGAGAGAGAGAGAGAGAGAGGAGAGAGAGAGAGAGAGAGAGAGAGAGTTTGGAGAAGGGTCGATGTCAAAGAGTTAAGATCCTAATAGGGACCCCCAAGGATCTCCTTTTGCTGGTTACGCAAACTCGTTTATCTCCACATTTTTTTTTCTCTATATTTGTGTACAAAGTTATTATTGATTTATAATTTAGATATTTTTATATAGTTTCCTCTTGGCTCACCGCCCCAGCTTTGAGAGTGAAGGTTTTCGATGGTGGTAGGGACCGCAATTGGAGATGTTTAATGAGTTCAATGATGCGGTCCGCCGCATGATTGGTGACTACGGCCGACCACCACCGTCCTACGTGGACTACCGTCTACATCTCTAGCCATCCACTATTCTTTATTACCAGCTCAACTCCCCCAGCTCCGTTTTCCTAAGAACTCCATTCTCATCCTCTCTCTCCAAATTTCTATTGTCTTTTTAACCTACTCAATAAATAAATTCTTCTGTGGATATTATTTGCAAAAGTTTTATAAAAAGATTGATTACTTGTTAGAATTTGCAGTAATAATCTTCAACTGGGTTTATGAAAATGATTAGAAGGTGAATGTCCATGGCCCGAATGAATCATAAGTTTCAAAAACATTTTCTTCTCTAATCATGGCATTTACATCTTCATATCTTACCTAACTTTGAAAATTATTGTTCATATTTGTTAAATATAATATTCCGTAATTGTTTAAAAAAAAAAAACCAGCGTTACTGTTCTAATATTGAATGATTTTAATCCCTTTCGCCAACTCCCTAAACAATAAAGGAGAACAAAAAAAAACAGTATAATTTCTATCATTTTTATCTCGAAACTTGACACGTGCGTGCAACATGTTTGATTCCAATTTACTCATGACTTTGTGTAAAGCGAATAAATTAAATTTTCCTTACCTTTTATCATAATTTTAATCACCTGCAATTTGATATTCTCTGAGATATCGAAACTCCATTTCTCCTACATTAGAATTCTATCAATATAAACCTATGATATCAGGTTTATGTGCATTGTATTTATTTGAAATGTGAATCGTTACTCATTTTTTACATTGATTAATTACTTATATTATCCGTGTATATAATAAATTATAGATGATATGGGGACACAATAATTACATATCTTGACTAAAATTAAAACAACAGATTGGATCATCTTGCAATAATTTCTAACGTGATACACGACGAATAGGCTAAGATCAGCTATATGATCAGAACTGTTTAGTCTTAAGCTATGGGATGAAGAACGCAATGGGTCGTAAAACATATATAGCAAAATCATAATTCATCATATATCAGTTCTCCTTATGCCCAAAATCTATACTAATTACGTACAACGTACCATATTCTCACCTCCATTTAAGAATATTATGGTTTTGGGAATACCATCAACCTAGCATAGTTTAGTAGTTTCGTGTACTTCTGTTCTTAATTGTTAGTAAAGATTAGTCTTCAAAACCCTTAAACAAATACAAAACCATTTGGTCACAGCTTGTACGCGATTGCTTTTCAAGGGAAGGAGGAGAGAGCCAGTGGACCACTTTGAATTTTGCTCAGAAATTTAACCCCAATAGCTTATTCTACAATTCTTTCCAAGATTCCTTTGTAGGAAACGGCATGTAAAAAAGTGCTTTGTAATAATTGCAAATTACAAATGCAATCTGAATTTGCAACACCGTGTTCTTCACCATTTGTTTTATTCTCACTTAAAATGATAGGCATGAAGTGGGATATGAATGATCACAACTTTTATTATCTCCAAGAAATTGCAGAAGTCCATTGCTCTATCACTCAACAACGACACTGTTAATCCAAAAATGAATTCCAATAACTTGCTTATTCTCTGACTATATCAGATCTTTGTTTACAATATTATTGATTATTCTTTAACAATGTTATAGTTTTAGAATAACGCCGATTGGTAATCAGCATGCATCAACTTGAACCCTAGTTCATTATCATTAGATATCAGAAAGAAACGCTAAAACAGTCTCTGTTACACAGTCTACATCGAGCCATTACTAGCACTTTCCCGACACTCTAAGATTTGCTTTACTACCTAGTTTTTGCTTGATATGATCTATCTAGTTTAACTCAAACAGATGACAGTTCTTATTTTTTTCTACAAACAAATTAAGAATGTAATCAACCCAACTTCCATTCATTTTAATGGGCAAAAGCTGATGGTGGGAGGGAGTGGGGGTCCTGGTAATCAAAGGCTGGCCTTGCGATTTATTTTTGTCTTTTGCTTTGTTTTCTTCTACGTAAGAACGATGCCAGCCCACCAATCTAGACCGGCCACGTGTCTCTCTCAGTTATCCTCAACGTACGTTTTCCTCTTTCCACTGTTTTTCTCCCAAAAACTTGTCGAGAATCATTTTGAAGGCCGTAAAGTATGAAATTCGAAATGACCAAAAAACCCCCTGATTGTGACACTGTGCAGACCCCATGTGGTGATGTTAACGTGCCTTGTCAGTGAGATTGGGAACCATACATCACCGCGTCATAGAAAGGACGGCTTCTTCTTAAATTGGAATGAACAGCTGAAAGAAAAGCCGATGTGAAGCCATGTGAGCCGCCCGGGAGCCGCTTGGAAAAAAGCTCAGTGTAAGAACCGGACACCGTGGCATGGTGTGAGAAAGTTTGAAAGCGAAAAGTTACCAGAATCTCGTGTTATTTTAACGATAATTTCTGAGAAGCGTAAATTCGTTACATTCCGCAGGCTCACTTTATACACACTCTACCGAAAATATTTGTTATGGACTATTTTCTGACCAAGGGGTTTCTACTTTAATTGGTCCAAACTTGAAGGGAAGTTAATGAAGCTTACCTTCCTTTTGCTTGGAAACAAACATTATTGGCCATATCTGGGTTACAACTCATTGTATGGGACTGTTGCTCTTATTGGCCATATGTTTTTTTTCTTACTATATTTATAGCCATTGATTTTTGTTTCAGTTCTCATATAAGCAGCAGCTTACTCATTGAGAGAATCCTAGTTGTTGCCAATCCCTTCCTATCTCGTGTTTGCAGAATTGTCTCAAGGCAGTTATGAGATTGCCTACTTTTGCTTTTGGAGACAGGGTCTCCTTTGAGGACAAGAGATTTATGAAGCGAAATATTGTGTAGAAAGGTTCTTTGTTTAAGGACAAGATCTTGGAGATGTTTCAATGTCATTATGTGGATTTTTTTAAGGATAAAAATTTTCTCTCAACCCAATATTACAAACGTTCTCTAACAACCTCGATGTGGTATCTGACAATTGGTCAGAGCTCACAAATGAACGAAATCCATTTGTGAGCTGTCAAATCGGGATTGTGAGAGAAAGTTTGTGAGATTCAGTTATAAATGTAGTATTACACTTTTTGGAATATGTATAATTTATATGTTTGATGATGAATATGAATAGTTATATGTTTGATGATGATGAGTATGAATAGTTTTATGTTTTCTTCCTTTAGTTGCCTTTTTTGTATAGATTTGAGAATCTGCAGATTTTACTTGCTTTAGTATCAGTGTATCTATAATTAGTTAAATTTCAGAGAATTTAGGGTTGATAACTAGAAAATTCAAAACCAAGCCATTGAATTGAACTGGACTGTAGTGACTTTGTAAATAAATTAATATTAAGCATTTAGTATTCATTGATAAGCAAAAGATTTTGAAGTGTTTTTCATGTTTAATTTACTAGTGTTAAATTATTAGCCAAACTTGGCTTTGTACTGAGAATTATTATGTACTTTTCTTATAAAGGATCTGATTATGCATCAAGTTTCTGTGATACACATGAATCATCAATATCTACTTTTTTTATTCATTCTTTGAAGAAGATTGTCGTGTCGATCATACGGAAAATATAGATATGGTTAAATCATAATATGAACTCAGAAAGAAAGAAAAATTTCTACCAAAGAGGACAAATAATATGCAGCAGTGGTTTTATCAATGATGGTTTTAACAGAAATCTGAAGTCACAGTAAAATACAGAAATATCATAAGAGAAGCAACTTAGCAAGCTTTATTTCAAGGAAAAAACTTGCTCCTAATTATACAAACAACTCGATTGCATGCTTCATATGTTGTTCTAAACATCACCAACCTCGTAACGCCAACAACCCATTCGATCATAGCATCTATTCTGCTCTGGATTGGCCAGCTCGGGATGACAAGATGATGCCAACAATGAGGCCATACAGTGCCAATGCCTCAGCAAATATGAGAATAAGAATCATTCCAACAAAAAGCTTTGGCTGCTGTGCATTAGCCCTAACCAAAAAAAAAAAAAAAAAAAAATTCCAGTCTAATTTCAGGAGAGCAAATTCTTTTGATGGAAAGACATACAAAACCAAACTGATAATCTAACTAAACAGTGATGGAACTAAAGCAGTTAATAGGTAACCCAGGCTAAAATAAGCCAACTATTGCCAGTGCAAAATCCAAGAATAACTTGGTAAAATGCCTAGTCATTCTTAAGCAATTGTAAGACAGATCAGCCATGTCAAAATACAACATAAATTATACAACAACAGCAATAATCAAGTAATTAAGATTCCCTTTTTCTTGACTAGAACAATTCACCATTTCAATATCTTCATCCTAGGATCCCATTAAAGAATCGCCAAAGAAACATTAGTTTAAGGTTGATCACTTGAAGTAGTAAGCAATTCAATGAATGCAAAGCCACAACAACTCTGTTTATGAATCAGAAATCAATAAATTTGCTAATTTTTAGCTACAGAGAGACACTTATATAGCTTAGAGAATGAAATACATGTAAGTATGATCAATAATTGATGTTAGCAGCATGAAATTGGGTGATAGAATTCAATCTAACTTTGATTTGCAATGAAAATATAAAAACATAAATAAATAATAAAGGGAATAGTAAATACCTAACACCAGCATCACCAACAATACCGATAGCCATGCCAGCAGAGAGGCCAGCGAGACCACAAGCGAGACCCGACGACAAATGAGCGTAGCCATCAAAAAGGTAATAGGATTTGGCCTTCGGGTTAATACCAGTACTAATAATAACCGCAATAATTAAACCATAAATACCTAAAACTCCAGCCATAACAACTGGCACTATCGATTTCATTACCAGCTCTGGTCTCATCACTCCCATTGATGCCACGCCCACCCCACTCTTTGCCGTTCCATACGCTGCTCCCATACCTGAAATCATTCATTTCATTTCATTTTATTGTTTCTCGAAACAACAACGAAATTAATAAAGAGTGTGGATTCAGGGTAAAGGATTATACATGAGAAAACAAGGGCAGCTGCGGCGCCAAGGAAGCCAAAAAACGGTGCCGTTTCATCTCCGCTGAACGTGGTTGACATTTTTTTTCTTTTGTTAATTGTTAGGTTATGGAGAGATTTGCAAAAGTGAGGATTTTTTCTTTTGGTGGGGGAACAGGATTGGAGAAGAAGACGGGAAATACTGGAGGAAGTTTCATACGGAAGAAGACAGCACATGGGAAACGTGTAGTGGGCCACATAGATTCTGTTTCTTCTTACAATGGCTTGGGCTTGGGCTTGGGCTTGGGCTTAAGTAAGATCCAATTTTGAGTAATTCGTTTACGTTTAACTAAGGAGATAAGCCCATGGGCTGATCTTTCTCAATGTCAATGTTGAGTCATGGGTTCGCTCCATATATAATTGGGTAATACTATATTGACAAATCTTTCTCATTAATTTTCTCTCACAAATATAACATGTCACAGCTCGTAATTGGTCAATTTGTAATGAGTCCTGCCTAACCAATTACGAACTAACCAATTGCGAGTTGACACGTCGTGATTGTGAGAAAAAAATTAGTGAGAAGGGTTTGTTAGTCTATTTTTATTGTATATAATTCTGAGGACATCATTTTGTTTTGCTTTCATTGCTTTGGTAATTTGGTATTGAATATTTTCACACCAAGCCTAGGATCTACGAATCAAGAAGCCTAATTGGATGTATTACTAAAGAGGTCATGAGTTCAAGTCCCTCCTCGATTGCTAATAGGGGTAGCTATTAGAGTTATTACCTGGTCGATAATTCCAGGGTCTCAGGGGATTAGTTAAGGTGTGCATAAGCTAGCTCAGACACTCCCGATCGTTAAAAAAAAAAAAAAAACTTAATTGTCTTTATCATCTTCCAACACTATTGAACTAGGTGGCTTCTATTTTTGCTTCTTTCATTCTTTACCAAATGATTGAATTGAAATTAACCATGCAGCATCTGGTATTCATATCAAACATCTCATTGCAGACTGATGTAATGGAGAGTAAAACAAAGAATCATTTTGCTACAAGCAATTGCTTTGCGAAAAAGGATGCAAATTATACAAGCAATCACATTATTACAATGAAGGTTAAGTGGTTTATAATAGATTGCCATAACTTAATTTACTTTATCTTCTAATTTTTTTTTTACTATGAACTTCAAAGTCAGATCAAATTACATGGCAACAAGTAATTTAATTAATGCATGCTTTAATGAACATGCAAATGCTTAACTTAATCTTCAAAACAATGTGATTAAGTTTTAGGTAAAAAGACATCAGTTTACATGATTCAATTTGCTTTCGTTCCCAAAGTCTTAAGTAAATTTCCCCATCATCGATTGTGCTTTACTTACTGTGTGGTACTGTTGTTATGATGAACTGCAGATTATCAAACTCATTTTCACTTTGAGAAAATGTTAGCGTCTTCTAATACAAGTATTCAGCCACACGTTCATTTTAGTTATCATTCATTCAAGTCAATTAAATAATAGGTCCCCAAAGCAAATCTATAGAAATAGAAGCATTACTTAGAAATAATTATCCGTGGATATGTGGACTACACCCCATCCAAAATGCAATCATTTTATTTATATATTGGTGGTTTTCATTTAGCTTTTGTGATTACTCCATTTTAATTCTCTATATAGCTAACATACTCTAGATCAAATGGCAAAAATATTAACAATATTCTCACTATCATTCTTAATAATGACCAGAAAACTTCATGGAGAATCCATTATTATGCAATGATCTATACAATAATTCAATTTCAACCGACCTGATCATGTTCTATATTTACTTAATGCTTGTGAAAAACCATAAATATTTTGATTTTGGTGAGGCATTCAAATCCCATTCGACAGTTTTAGCTTAATGCTTCTGCATATCCGCGTTTCATTTTAGTTTTATTGTTCCACATATGCAGTAATTTCAAGATTTTAAGAGCAGAAACACTAATAATGGACATACTACAAATTGGGTTTGTGTCATTTATGAGACGTGACAGGGGCAATCGAAGTTGAATAAGAAAGTAACTTGACTAGGAAAAAGAAAAAAGAAAAAAGAAAAAACATAAAAAGTAATGCCACCCCAAGAACCATCCTTTTTGACAAACAACACACTCATGATCAAGGCAAAGTTTGTATCTAAAACAAAAAGAGGAATGTCTGTGCAAGGCAAGCAAGCAAACAGATCTAACTTGTCAATTCATACGCGTAATCATCAATTAGAATTGGACCCCCCACTTATAGAGAGAGCTCTCAAGAACACGGGGCAGAGACAGAGATCAGTAGTAGGAATTACCAATTACCCTTTAAAAACCACCATCCATTCATTCACCTGTTGCTGCACGATCCCTTAGCTCACCAGTGACTATCATGCCATCTATTTATTTCCCCATTCTTTCTTAATCAATGGCCCATTCGTCTTCCTTCAGACTTCCTGTTCAAATACGGATCCATCTAAATCATAATATTCTTCAGATCCTCTACGATCAAGTCGTTCAATTCCACGTGGTTTATACCTTTCAGATGACAAAGCCAATGAACATGTTGCACGTACAAAAATATACCAGTGAAAAACTTCAAAATGGAGGGTTTCTTTGATGGCTTTATTTTGATAATTGCCTTTCAGTTATCCTTCGCTGAGACACCAAGTGTAGTGAAGTAATTGAAATTCCAATACTTGAGGTTTTCTGCTTTTGATGATTCTAGCATAATGCCAGGGTTACAATATTATTCAACCATTTGAGAAAGAGTATATACCACTAACTTTTAAAATTAATATGATGATGTATGAATTAGCCACAGGATGTCCACTCTAATTCGCATGATGATCAATCATCAACCCAGAGAACGACAAATTACCATAGTAATTAATTAAAACTGAACTTTTTTACTCTCCACAAATCCAGAGATAAGGTACTGAAACAATTTCGTCAAATGGGGTCTAAATAGCTACTTTCCTTAGTGAAGATGTGATGAGGGTCTAGAAAAGTATAAATATTTAATTTCCCGTCAATGCAAGTGTTAGAATTAGTACCTACGAGGGAGCAATCATAGTTTTTGTCCCTTGGAAGAAGCTTCTGTTTCACACCTTTAATGTCTTTGGTAATTGCTATAGTAGTAAAGATAAAGAGAAGAGTGAAGCTGAAGAGTTTTGAGTTAAAAAAAAAAAAACATAAAAAAATAAGAGTAGATATAAATGGATGGTTTATCTTCACCAACCGCCATTAAACACAAATTAAAATACCTAAACAAATTGGTAAGCTGTTAATATTTATTCTTTAGATTCATTCACAGCTCTGAGAGAGAGAGAGAGAGAGAGAGAGAGAGAGAGAGTTTGGAGAAGGGTCGATGTCAAAAGAGTTAAGATCCTAATAGGGACCCCCAAGGATCTCCTTTTGCTGGTTACGCAAACTCTGTTTATCTCCACATTTTTTTTTCTCTTATATTTGTGTACAAAGTTATTATTGATTATAAATTTAAGATATTTTTACTTTTTTTTATATAGTTCCTCTTTGGCTCACCGCCCCAGCTTTGAGAGTGAAGGTTTTCGATGGTGGTAGGGACCGCAATTGGAGATGTTTAATGAGTTCAATGATGCGGTCCGCCGCATGATTGGTGACTACGGCCGACCACCACCGTCCTACGTGGACTACGCGTCCACATCTCTAGCCATCCACTATTCCTTTATTACCCAGCTCAACTCCCCCAGCTCCGCTTTTCCTAAGAACTCCATTCTCATCCTCTCTCTCTCCAAATTTCTATTGTCTTTTTAACCCTACTCAATAAATAGAATTCTTCTGTGTGATATTATTTGCAAAAGTTTTATAAAAAGATTGATTACTTGTTAGAATTTGCAGTAATAATCTTCAACTGGGTTTATGAAAATGATTAGAAGGTGAATGTCCATGGCCCCGAATGAATCATAAGTTTCAAAAACATTTTCTTCTCTAATCATTGCATTTACATCTTCATATCTTACCTAACTTTGAAAATTATTTGTTCATATTTGATTAAATATAAATATTTCAGTAATTATTTTAAAAAAAAAAACCAGCTTTACTGTACAGAAACAAAAACTGTGTTCTAATAATTGAATGATTTTAATCCCTTTCGCCAACTCCCTAAACAATAAAGGAGAACAAAAAAAAAAAAACAGTATAATTTCTATCTATATTTAGCTCGAAACTTGACACGTGCGTGCAACATGTTTGATTCCAATTTACTCATGACTTTGTGTAAAGTCGAATAAATTAAATTTTCCTTACCTTTTATCATAATTTTAATCACCTGCAATTTGATATTCTCTGAGGATATCGAAACTCCATTTCTCCTACATTAGAATTCGTATCAATATAAACCATATGATATCAGGTTTATGTGCATTGTATTTATTTGAAATGTGAGAAAATCGCGTTACTCATTTTTTACATTGATTAATTACTTATATTATCCGTGTATATAATGAAATTATAGATGATATATGGGGACACAATAATTACATATCTTGACTAAAATTAAACAAACAGAATTGGATCATCTTGTCAATAATTTCTAACGTGATACACGACGAATAGGCTAAGATCAGCTATATGATCAGAACTGTTTAGTCTTAAGCTATGGGATGGAAGAACGCAAATGGGTCGTAAAACATATATAGCAAAATCATAATTCATCATATATTCAGTTCTCCTTATGCCCAAAATCTATACTAAATTACGTACAACGTACCATATTCATCACCTCCATTTAAGAATATAATGGTTTTGGGAATACCATACAACCTAGCATAGTTTGAGTAGTTTCGTGTACTTCTGTTCTTAATTGATTAGTAAAAGATTAGTTCTTCAAAACCCTTAAACAAATACAAAACCATTTGGTCACAGCTTGTACGCGATTGCTTTTCAAGGGAAGGAGGAGAGAGCCAGTGGACCACTTTGAATTTTGCTCAGAAATATTAACCCCAATAGCTTATTCTACAATTCTTTCCAAGATTCCTTTGTAGGAAACGGCATGTAAAAAAGTGACTTTGTAATAATTGCAAATTACAAATGCAATCTGAATTATGCAACACCGTGTTCTTCACCCATTTGTTTATATTCTCACTTAAAATGATAGGCATGAAGTGGGATATGAATGATCACAACTTTTATTATCTCCAAGAAATTG